TCGCCCGGGCCTTTTCTCTAGAGTGGCCTGGCCTGTGACAGCTATTTTTAGTTGACATGTGTTTTCTTTGAACTGTATGCTTAGTGCGAAGGCTGGATTGCAAGCAAGCGATCTCGCTGCCACGGCGTAAGCAAGTGGCTGAAGGGGGAGGGGAGAGGAAGCAGCGTAAGAGAGGGAGAAAGGAGAGGCACCGCGGGAAACACGGGGCTGGTGAGGACAGGATAACGGAAGTGAAGGAAGAAGGCGAAGGATGTGGGAAGATAGTAGACTGTCGGCGGGAGAACATCCGTGTTCAGGTTGAAACTGAGTAGCAACTTGTTCAAGGAAGATTCTACCAGTCTGCGGGCAAGGACGTCAGTCGAAGGGAAGACAATGCTTGCTGCTTTCCAGTCCATCTGATGGTCTGTGTCCCACTGCTGGCAGATGACGACGGTGGTGTTGTGTCCCATGGATATTGCGTATTTATGTTGAGACAGACAGGAAGCCTAACGCCTGTTTCACAAAAATATTGCTTGTCACAGGAAGCACACGGAACAGAATAGTTATCCACCTTCGAGGTAGAAGGAGGGCAGGTGTGAACCAGGTTACGACGGAGAGTGTTCACCTAGCGAAAGGTGAGTCTGCAGTTGAGAGGATGTAGGGGGCGACGGAGAGACAGTTGCCTGACGTGGCTACCATAGAATCGCGTAGAAGAGCAGTGGGTAACGGGAAAGCTGGTTTGCCTGCCATAATTCTGCCCCGACTCCCTCTACTAGGACTGGATCAGTCGGCAGTTGCTGGTTATGTGGCTGCAGGCAAAGTCAGTCACCCTCATTTAGGTTGAAGGCCCTTCGCGACTCATCACCTTCCTTATGTAACTCTGCACTCTTAGCTCTATGCCAGTTCGAGCTGGTGAGGCTCCTAACGTAGCCGCTTGTAAATCCAAACATATTCACCAGTACTTCGCGTGTGAGGTTTACATTCCCGCAAATATCAGCGATCAAAATGTTCTAGCGAAAGACAAAATACATATGAATCACTCGAAATTAAGGCAGGAACACGCATTTCGACACTTTTTCATTGGACTTTCGATACTGATACGCAGAGACATTTATTAGTAGTCTGGGATGTGACCAACAATGAGAAATAATATTACGAAAATTCTATCTTTCTTTCCATGTCATAGAACCAAAGCAAAATTTGCTTTCATAAGGACGATTCGATTTCTGCCATATTTCAACTGTATACCAAGAAGAAATAACATTTAAAGCAAACATGATTAAATTTAGACTATAAACTTATGCTACGATAGTTTTCTGTGTCTCAAATAGGATCCAGACTGTCTTTTATCCTTCTCCACTGGAATTAGGAACTAATTTGATAAAGGAAATGATGCTTTTGAGAACATTCTGAAAAGCAGATTCATTATATTCTTGTCTCTTTTAGTTTCCTCTCTTCCTTCTCACTTTCTATTTTTTCACAAAAATACGAATGAATGTATATATACATATATTTTTATGATACATGCTGTACATAATAAAGGTCCTTCTATTTACAAGTATAGCTGTATAAACAATACAATACAATACATAACAATAACAACAAATAAATTAGAAAAAGGGGGTTTCATAACCTCGGAGGGCGATCAAAACCATATAGTGCAATAGTTGCACAGAAACGGCCATTTTTACGAAACCAAGGGACAAAGCATGTAGGAGAATAGGAGAAAGAATTGGTTAACAGCTGGGTGGGAGGTTCATGCCCGACGCTGTGCACGCGTACGAGAGGCTGAGTTTGGTTCCGGACACGGTGGAGGACGATGTGTAAGTGAGGGTGACGGTGGTAGTCCTCCACAAGACGAGGCGGCCAGAGTCATCCTCGGCAACGTTCTTGGCAACTTCGGCGTCGGAGGCCGCGTTCAGGGAGGCGTGAAGGTCGTCGCCGGATGGACTGTAAGATGAATAGCTAGTGGTTATCATTTCCCTGCTAAGCAAACGTCCAATACTTTATTGACGATTTTTTATTTTTTATTTTATGAATATATAAATCAACCAAAACCCTCACTTGTTATCAATCTCCTCGAGCTTGATTAGAGCTCTCTTCTTCTTGCCGCTGCAAGTGGTTGATCCGATGTCTGCAAAAGAAAGGTATATTACAAGGTTGTCAGTTTATACACACACACACACTGGTTTACACTGATAGCTAGCACAACCTTATTCGTATCCTTTTTTTATTGATTCTCTTTGTGTTCACTACAAACATTCTTTTCATACACCTATATCATCAGTGGCCATGATCGCCGTTCATCTGAAATTAAAGTCATTTCAAACACTAACTATTGTAGCAAGTGGTGGCAGCGACGCCAATGGTTGTGGTGGTAGCTGTGCTGATCACTTCTGTTCTCAGAATGCCCACATAAAACTTTTGGCTGGCCGGGTTGTAGGCAGCTTTATCTTCTGTCGGAAGAGGGGAGAAATGGTAGAGTAAGTGCATTGCCAAGAAAAAAAATAGCGAAACCATCAGGTTGGTAGGCCATGACTCTACCTACCAATTGTGGATGTGAAAAATCTACCCCTGCATTAAAAGCATTACTTTAATCCGTTTGTCGCGCATTATACAACACACATGAAGCAACTGATCTTACCCTTCTCTTCCTCGGAAGCGGCGAACAGCGCCACACCTGCCAAAACGCACACTGCAAGCAGCTTCATCTGTTTACAGCAAGAAGCAAGTTCAGTGGTTTGATCATAGTACTTCGTAGGTTATATTATATTTAGCTTACAGCAGTGCAATCATGGGAATCGGTTTAGATTACAAAAGTTATCAGAAGCAGCTTGATTTTGCAATTTTGGAGTCTCAAGATGCATCATTCCGGACTTTAACCATATTTTCAATATGGACGGAAAGATGGACTCAGACTTACTTCCTTTGACAATCTGGATTTTTGCCTTATCATGAAATGAGAATGCCATGTGAATATCATCCAATCACACTGATTTTCAGTTAGCATTTCTACATGTAAATATATAATAACAGTGCGAGACATCGTACTTTTCGTAAGAATTACGATAGTACAGGGACATATATATATATAAAATACTGTACACTTACATATATGTATATATATGTATGCATATACATGTGTGTGTGTATATGTATATGTGAATATATAAATATATATATATTTATATATATGTAGGTATATATGTACACGTAATAACTTCGTATAGCATACATTATACGAAGTTATACGACGTACATATCTCTCACTCACTCTTTCTCTCTCAAAACACGCACACACACACTCACTCACACACACACACACACACACACATATATATATATGTATATATATATATATATATATATATATCTGTGTGTGTGTGTGTGTGTGTGTGTTTTTGTGTGTGTGTGTGTGTGTGAGTGAGTGTGTGTGTGCGTGTTTTGAGAGAGAAAGAGTGAGTGAGAGATATGTACGAATATATGTATACATAAATATGTTTTCATTCATATGTATATATGTACATATATGTATATATATCAATATCTATCTATGTATGTATCCATCTATCTATATATAAGCATATATGCACATCTCTATATACATATATATGCAGCCATATATATATATATATATATATATATATATA